CTATTTTTATAATTTCTGTTCTGAAATGAAGAATTTTGCATTAAGCCTTCATCATTCATCATAACCCAAAGTTTACTAAATGATTCAGATTTTATTAATTTTATTAGTTGTCCCTTATTAAATGTTTTTAATTATCAATAGTGTTCCTATGACATGTGAGGATGGAATAAAAGTAGCACTAGCAAACGAACACAGAGCATGTTACAGATTAGACTTAGTGTCTCATCTGAATGCTGTGTTAAACACATAAGATACAGATAAGTAGGTAAAGGGATAAACATACACTGAGGATAGATACACTGAGACCACGTGAGCAGCCTCAGGGGCACAGGAATGTTGTTTAATAACATGGAAAACATAACATGTGTCTCAAATTCAAAACTGGTGAGGTCTCTATTCAATTACCTTTTCAGTAATTTTCACAAATTAACTGATTACCAAAATTAGATCCCACTTAATTAGAATGATCCTGAGAAATGGGAAGATAGCATTTATTTCAGAGACCATACAATCACCCTAAATTTCTGATCCTAAAAAGAACTTCCTTTAATTCAAATATGTGAACTATATACAAAAGACTAAGTCCCAAATATTTTTCTAACATCCACAATGTACACTTACTTCTTCATAATGTTGAAAGTTTTACTCTCTACTCAAACTCATTTTAATACTGAAGTTGATATGTATACAAACTACTAAAATAAAACCTGGTAAATTTTAGTATTTAAACATTTATATATGTAGGGACACTTTATTTTCCTTTTTATTCTTTATGTTTCATGATTTCTTTGTACTTTCAAAACACTTTGGCTAGAGTGTTAATATATGGCACGAAATCATAGCAAATTTATTAATGAATGTCATCACTATATTCTGATCAAACATTTCTGTTATTTAAGTTTCAGGCATAAGAAAAGATATCCCTAAAACAAAACAAAACAGAATGCAAGAAAAGTCTTTGATTGAAATTCCCTCCAATAATATAACAATGAATCACAAATCAAGTCCATGACTGGCCCCAAACATCATATCTACATCATAGTGGCTTAAGTTTTTTTTTTTTTGGTACTGGGGGATCAACTTGGGTCCTTGCGCTTGTCAGTGGCGGAACCACTGAGCTAAATCCCCAGCCCTGGCTTAAGTTTATTTTACCACAGTATTATATAGTGTGCTTCTGTTACAGAGCACTTACTGGAACAGATATTTATGATGCAGAGGTACTCTAGTTCTACCCATGTATAGTACTAATTCCAAGTAATTAAATCAGAGTTCTCAGTAATTAGTGTCTAAATTAATCACTACTGAGAGTGGAAGAACACAGTATATCAAACAATATATTATAAATTCATTAGAAGACAGGAATAGTGGCACATGCCTGTAATCCCTCTCAGCACTCAGGAACCTGAGGCAGGAAGATCACCATGAATTTGCGGCCACCCTAGGCTACATAATGAGTTCAAGGCCAGGCTAGAATACAGTGAGATCCTATCTCAAAAAATAAAATTAACAATAAAACACAAAAAATCACTAATATGACAATCTAGACACATTACCATCCCTAAATATGAATACACTATCATACCTATACTATAGGATCTATAGTCCTTATTATCCATCTCAAAAGAACTAAGTTAACATTACTTTGCACTTTATCTTTTATTAATTCAACAAATGTCAACTGAGCATAATTAGCTTTAAAAGAATTGAGGCATTAATATACTCCAGAGTGGCACAGATTACTACTATTTTATCAGAATTTGCTAGCATAGTAACAGGAAAATGAGACCGTACAATAGTTTTACTACCTTACATATTAGGAAGTTGATTATGTATAAAAGAAGTAAGCAAATACTGAAAAATCTCAAATAATGACAAAAGGGGATGATTGAATCAGCATGCTAGTATGGCCAAACAACACTATAATTCTAAAATCTATCAAAGCAAAAAAAAAAAAGAAAGAAAAGACAAGAGCTAGGAGCCCATAAGCAAATTCAATTTAGCATATAGGAAATTTCAGCAAAAATATCAATGCAGGCTCTAAATTTACTAGATAATTATTAGAAAGGAGCTCACCAGCTGTAAAGGTAATAAATATCTGTCCCTCTCCAAAAATATTACAAATAATATAAGGGATTATTTTATATTCACATCCTGGCAAATGCTGCTGTCAATCGGGCCCTCTATGACAGATGTTGAATAGCATTATATGCAAGGAGAGAGGGACAAGCTGCAAGCGCATTAGTTCTTTTTTTGAATGGGAAGGGGAAGCATCTTTATATACAGTAGCAGTACTAAAAACAATTCTACCAGCTGCTCAAGGACACTTGACATTAACGACCTGAAGCACGAGGGTCCTGGGAAGAGCCCTCATGGGGAGACTGATCGGAAGTGGAAGGCTGCTGCTGGGTCTGAGCAGCCAGCTCCTGCTGCCTCTGCTGCTCAGCCTTCTTAAGCCTCAGCTGCTGCAGGCGCTTACGGAGCAAAGCTATCTCAGGCCCCCTTAAAAATTCTGATACAGACAGGAAAAGAAAGGTGAAGAGAGAGCAATAAAATGGAAAATAGTAAGAATTTGATCATACATTAAAGGGAGGAAAGATATAAATAAAACAGGTCTCATAAAATACTAAAAAATTACTGATAAATTACTAGTTATTAAATTATGAAACAAATTATGCATATACACAGAAATACTTCTCCTTACAATAAATCAGACATATACATTTTCCTAAGAATATTTAGGTAATTAAACAAGATGAAAATAAAGTTCTCATAGGCAAAACACTACTGCACTTTTTGGTGCTAGGGACTGAACTTAGAAACTTCATACACGATGAGCACATACTCTACATGGCATTATACCCCTAGCTCAGAAGATTTTAAACTGAACATTCTTTTCCTCACTAATTTTCTTTTTATAATAAATTGATATTAAAAATGATAATTGGAAAATATCAGTTAAATCATTTACTGTGCACAAAAAATTTAAGATAGTTGATTAATTTCAATCAAGTGATAATTAAAATAAAAAGCTATGCATTTGGAAACAACTTTTGAAATTTATTAGAGATCTTCTTAAAAAGTGAGTAGTGTTAGAATTTTCATTTATTTTTAGTTCAAAAATATTAACATAATATTTTCCTAACCTTTACCTGAAGATAAAAAGGAGATAAAAGAAACACAAAAGGGCCGGGGATTTAGCTCAGTGGTTTTGCCGCCTGCTGCGCAAGCGCGAGGACCTGAGTTCGATCCACGGTACCAAAAAAAAAGAAAGAAAAAGAAAAAGAAACACCATGGAATTCTTGAAAGAGGTTTCTATTGAATATCTAGCATGTATGAGGCTTTGGAGATAAATCAGACATTGAACAAAATATTCTCTATTCCTGTGCAACTTACGTTCTGGGCACCTGCAAATGCATAAATACAAGCACTATATAAACACACATGGTATATGTGTATGTGTTTGCATGTGTTCTGGGGGTTAACTGTTATGAATCACATACACACACAGACTGTATGTGTTTGCATGTGTCCTATGGGGACACATAGCAATTATGCTTTGAATTACACACACACAGTATAGACACACAGAATGTACATATGTGTTTGCATGTATCCTTTGGGGATAACTGCTATGAATGACTCACACACTACATATATATACATACACACGTGTACGTGCACAATGTACAAACGTATTTGCATATGTCTTAGAGGAACGACTGCTATGAGTGTACATATATATTTGCATGTGTCTTAGGGGAAAACTGCTGTGAATGTGCACACACACTATACACACAGAGTACACATATGTGTTTCCATGTGTCCTATGGGGATAACTGCTGAATTAAGCTGGCAAGGTAAGGCAAAGGGAGTGCGGATGGTAGAGAGAATTGTTATCTTGTGCATGGTCATAGAAAATGCTTCTCTCGTAAGGTGCCATTTTGAATAAAGACCTCAAGGATATGAGGGAGTGAGCCATACAGATACCTGCAGGAAGAATTTTCCAAGTGGAGGAAAGAACAGCGCAAATGCCCAGGGGGAGAAGTTTATTGAGGTGTGAGACATATTTTAAAGGTAAAGAGAGAATTTGATGATGGTTTACATACAGTTTTTGGCCTAATAACAGGAAAAGCACGGTTGTCATTCATTGTAATGAGAACAATGGAGGAGGACTAAGTTTTGCTGGAGAAGGAAAAAATAGCTATCCGAGTGGAAAAATTCAGTAGAGACTGAATTTTAGAATGCAGAGTTCCTAGGACAGTGGTGGTAAACCTATGGCGTGCATGCTGCAGCGGGCTGTTTGTAGCACTCAAAGCTCTAAAAGGTTCACCATCAATGTCCCAGGATTTATAAAACAGAGCGCAGCTGGTGATGTCACTTTAAGTTCTCTAGGCAGCAAGTGATGACACAGAAGAGATCTAAGAACTGAACCCTTGAGAACACCAGTGTGCAAGAGGAGGAACACTCTCTAAGAAGGACATGAAGAAAAGCCAGAGAGGGGGTCAAGGATGGAGCAAGGAGTTCTGTCACACACTGGGGACGGACTGAAAAAGATGCTGACTGAGAGCTAAGCACGGATTCTGTAGTGGCATGTAAGTCACTGATGACCTGGAAAAGGGCTGTTTCCATGGAATAACAGGGCCAGAACCAAACTGCAGCAAGTATGAGAGGATGGGGAGAGAAGGCACAACTGACACAAAGCGTGTATACTCTGCAGAAGTCCTGCTGTGGAGATCAGAGAAATCAGATGATGGTCAGTACAAAAAGAGTCTAGGGAGCTTTGTGGGTTGTAATTTGGGATATTAAATAACAAGTTTGCATTCTGATGGGAGACAATGCATGAAAAAAGTGGGCAGCTGCAGAAAAGATGTCCTTGAGTAGACCAGAGGATATGGGTTCTAGTGGCTAAGAGGAGGAACTAGTTTTGGAGTAGGTCCTTAAAAAAAAATTGAGTAGCCAGCTACTAAGGGAGACTGAGGCAGGCAGATGGCAAGTTCCAGACCATGTGAAAAGACTGAAAAAAAAATCACCTAATTTCACTGTGGAGTTTCAAACTCTCTCTATGAAGCTGCCAAAATGTTTTCTGGAGGTAGAAGTCTACAGCCTAGAACTGCTCAGTGATGTAGCAAGTGACAAACAGGCTCTAGGTGCAGGCACTAATGCTCGGTAACTTGGAAAATCAACATTTAGTCAAGATAATCTTATAAACCATTTACTCAAGTGTTTCCAGTGTTATTTAAGAAAGATCTTGTTTGTCTACTTTTTTTTTTTTTTGGTACCAGGGATCGAACTCGGGTCCTTGCGCTTGCGCAGCAGGTGGCAAAACCACTGAGCTAAATCCCTGGCCCTTGTTTGTCTACTTTTAAGGCTGGTTGTATGGCAGCTCACCAAAATCTCCCTATGTAGCTTAAATTTTAAAAAGAAAAAAAAAAGTGAGGCTAGGAAGTTATCACACAGTTAACCAGGAAAGGCAGGTACTGAATTAAAAATCTGAAGATCTATCAGATTAAAACAATTCTGCTTAGCAGTCTGGAATATTACAGCAGTTAAGAAATACAAACACATTATATCCTTTTAAAAATGTATATACTGTCATTTACAAATGTATATAACGGGGGCCGGGGATTTAGCTCAGTGGTTTCGCTGCCTGCTGCGCAAGCGCAGGACGCAAGTTTGATCCCTGGTACCAAAACAAACAAACAAACAAAAAACAACAAATGTATATAATGTTTAGAGAATTTGTTTTTGTTACTATAAAGCCAAAATGAAAAATCAATACAATGACTACTTTGGTTGAATTTTCTAAACGACAACAACTCAACAAGGTATCAAGAACTACTAGAAGAAATCTGCACTTCTATCTCCTGAAACTACTAATCCCATTCTTGTTTTCTCCTGAAAAACTCCAGGATATTCTCCCTACTGGCTTAATTCTGACAGGAGAAAATTAAAACTAGCTACAGTTGCCCCAAACAAAGGGCCACTTGGTTTCTAACCTCCTATCACGACTCTATAATCTGTAGGGTCTTCTGCTGTGGGCCCTGAATTACTATCTGTCTGCTCTCAGTCCATCTTCTAGTCCCAAACCGCTTCTTGTCCCAGGGACCCATGTAGATTTTTCCTCCTGGGACTGCTCACTCCTTTGATGACTTCCAAGATTCTCTGTTCTCTCCTTCAGTTTCTCCACAGAGACTAGCAACCTAGAACTTCCACCTGTTTCTAATCAGTAAACAGTCTATACCCAGACTGACCGGACAGCAATCCTATTTAAGGAAACTACAATCTAGACATTTGGGCTTTGACATCTTGTACAAGAGTCCTTCATTCACCAGAAATTTTTCAAAAGAGGTCAATTTAGGGCAGGGGATTTAGCCCAGTGGTTCTGCCATCTGCCTCCCAAGCACAAGGTCCCAAGTTCAATCTCCAGTACCAAAAAAAAAAAGAAAAAAAAAACCCCAAAAAAGAGGTCAATTTAGCTTTAATGATTATGCATAGACCTAAATAAACCTGTAAGCTTGAGCAGATACATCTGTAAATAAGCAGGAATGTACACACAGATCTTATATCTAAACAAACTGAATTCTCATGTCTGAGTGGGCTACTTAATTAGAAACATAGGGATCCTCTGAGAGCCTCCCAAACTGAGTTTTGTGTGTACTAATATCCCCACCCAATCCAAAGTTATCATTTTCTCTAATCATATATGTTTTGTTTCTTTTCTTTTTTTTTTTTTTTTTTTGTACCAGGGATCAAACTTGGATCCTTGCACTTGCAAGGCAGGCAGCAGAACCACTGAGCTAAATCCCTGGCCCTCTAATCAAATATTTTTAAGGTTAAAATGAAACCAAAGGGGGGAAAAAAAAAATTATAACACTAGAAAGACACTTTACTTAATACTCATCACAAGAAACTTAAGATGAAAAAATTTACAAACAGCACATTACATGAAAATATTTCCAGGCTTAGCTTAAGAAATAACAGAGTGCCAGGGATTTAGCTCAGTGGTGCCGCCACCTGCCTCACAAGTGCAAGGCCCTGAGTTTCATCCCTGGTACAAAAAAAAAATTAGAGATGACTGAGAGGCATTACAGAGAAAAGAACATAATATTCTAGAGTTACTTAATATTTTTTAAAAATAAAATTATGAAAATTTCCTTTTAACCTACTACACAGGTTTAGCACATCGCCATATATTTCTAAGCTTTAAATATATAATTTTATGAATACTTTTTAAACAGAATAGTCTTTTGTTAAGTGTTTGAGACAGTAATATACATAAGAATCAGAATGTCTGCTGAAATTCTGGACTATGTAGGTAGAATATGGTTTCAAATGATCTCTGACACATCAGTCAAAAATACTAAATACACAGGGTAAAGAGGCAAAGGAGGAGGAGGAAAAAAGATATACCAATTGATTTGGAGTTACACTTGAATACATTTATTTTCCTAATTCAGCTCCAAAACCCAAAGCCAATTTTGTAGTACCCTCTCCATGTCTCACTGCTCAGGTCGTGCATTTTGTATATTCACCTCACTTACGACTTCATTTTATTTTTATCCTACCCATTTTTGTTTTTCTTTTCTTTTTTTTTTTTTGATACCAGGAATCGAACTTGGGACCTTGCGCTTGCAAGGCAGGTGGCAGAACCAGAGTTAAATCCCTGGCCCTCCTACCCATTTTTCCATCTGTCCCATTATTTATTTATATATACAGCCACATGATTTTTAGATAATATTTCTGTAACTCACCTTAAAACATCTGTAGAGAAAGCTAAGAAAAATAATCTACTCAGTCTTAAAAGTCCCCAATGGAGCAAGGTAAATAAGGGATCTGAATGATATCTGGATAGCTAATCACAGCATCTCTCCGAGGTGTCATCAAATTTTAAGAGCTTACTGGAAATACCTAGAGTTAATGAAGTGGGGTCAAAACTTTAAAGACTGAAACATACATACCCTATTTAGCCTATACCAGCTTAAAGATAACTAACTAAATGTCTCCCAACACTCTTGCTGTACCTTTAGTGACTTATTGATGGAGGGAAAATGATACTCAGAGATTAGAGATAAAGACAACGTCCCTATCTTTGTGAGAACATATTCTAGTAAGAGAAATGTCATACATAAGTTGAGGAGAAAGAGAAGAAAGAGGACTCTGTCTAGGAATAATCACGAAAGACCTCGTTTGGATAACATCTGAGCTGAGAAGGAAGGAAAAAAAAAGGGTTAGCTGTATGATAAGCTGGCAGAAAAACTACTGAGGAACAAAGCACAGTAAGAACTTAAGTGCAAATAAAAAAGAAAGAAGGGCTGGGGATTTAGCTCAGTGGCGCCTATACCTACCTCACAAGTGCAAGGTCCTGAGTTCAATCCCGGTTACAGAAACAAAGAAAGTGAAAGAAAAGAGCAGAAGAGAATTCGACACATTAAAGGAACAGAGAGGAAATCATGAATGTAATAACCACCAGGGACTGACAAAGTGGGATCAGAAGACCCCAGAGAGGTGGAACAGGGCTAGGCCATATAGCTTCTTATATGTCCACAGTAATCTTAATGTTTTTTGTTTGGTTTTGTGGTTGTACTGTATTTCCAAATGCATTAGATGCCCTGGCGAATTATAAACAGTAAAGTTGTATAATCTCATTCAACATTTAAAAATACTCAGTCTAGCTGGTTTGTGGAGAATAACTTATTAGGGGAAAAGAATAAATGCAATGAGCTAAATTAGGAGACAAGAAATGATGGTGATATGAAAAGAAGTAAATATATTTTAGATACGGAACCAACAGAACTTGTTGATGAATTGAATGTGGGGCATGAGAGAGAGGAATCAAGAATAACTCCTGGGTTATTAAAATAACTAAATAGGCAGGTGGTCTTATAATTTACTAAGCCATAAAAGGACTAAGATCAAACTAATTAGGAAACAGAAATGGCAGGAGGCTGAATTAAGGTTTAGTTTGGACTCCTTAAATTTAAGATGTGTAAAGACAACCAAAAAGAAATGTCCAAATAGCAAACAGATGTAAGAGTATGGAATTCGGGGTACAGGACCAGATTGTTGATATACCTTTAGGAGTTTAAATTTAGACGCAATAAATTAAAATCTACAGAGAAATGATAGAATCACTGAAAGACGAGAGTATACAAGAAGAAAAGACAGTAGGATTAGGAGGTTCAACCATAATACTTAGAAGCAGGTAGGAAAGGAAATATGAATAATGGTTACTGAAAACCAGCCACAATTTATAATACTTAGGTAGATGTGTCATAAAAGCCAGGAAAAGAAAGTGTTTCAAGAAAGCATTGACGTGCCACCTGCCTCGCAAGCTCAAGGTCCTGAGTTCGATCCCCAGTACCAAAAGAAAAAGAAAAGAAAGCACTGACAAGAGTAGGTTAAATGTAACTGGGTAAAAAAAAAAAACTAGTAAGATACTAACGGACAAATATCTTCTCCATTTGTCAAGATAGAGGTTATTGGTGACTTGACCAAAAGTTTTCAAGGAAAAAAAAGAGCTGAAAAACAGATTTTGGTTGGTCATGAATAAATGGGGTAAGAAAATGAAGATAGTATATGTGATCAACTCTTCTGAGGACTCTTAACTATAACTGGAGTAGAGAAGTAAGGCAGTAGAGTAGCTGTGAGGGAATGTGGGATAAGAGCATATATTTTCTAATGGAGATAAGAGTATTTTTTTTCTAAAGAGATAAGAACACATTTAAGGCTGAAAATAATTTGGCAGAAAAAGCA